AAACCAATCCGACAAATTTTGAATGCTTTGTTATATAGCAAAGGCGTTTTTAAATCTCGTGTGACACCATATTGACCATTGACGGTACACCTGATATTCGGAAAAAAGTATAACATAAACTGCGATGAAAGAACTAGCCAGTCTCATATCCATGATGTATACACTGTTCACTGTAAATGTCAAAAACTGTCAAAATTCAAATGACAAGAAACCAATTAGTGATGGGTCATTTTCTGTCCATAGGTGGCAGTAGAAATCAACCATTTTAACCTTGTGTATGCAGTATCTCGGGATAGGCTAATGATAAATTCGTGATTTTTTGTGTGGTAGTGAGCATCAACTACGGCAGCATACTCCGAAATTTTCATAGAGATTGGCCAAGAGGAACTGAAGTTATTAAAGTTTTACATATGGAACTACGAACGGTACAATAAAGTTGCAATTCATCCATATACAGGGTGGCACAAAAGTCACGCACCCCGAGAAAAATATCGAATATCTCTGTTACGGTTCGAGCAAACGAGCTGATTTTTTTACCAGTAATAGAGGCATGCTCAAGCTTTAAACCACAAAGATATGCCTAGAGAGATCCTCGGTTTAAGTATCATTATTGACCTTAACAAAAAGAATTTTGCTTTTTCACAGGTACCAAAAAGAAAGAATATACTTAACAAAAGGTCTCTCTAGGCATGTCTTTGTGGTTTAAAGCTTGAGCATGTCTCTATTATTGGTAAACAAATCACCTCGTTTGCTCGAACCGTAACAGAGATATTCGATATTTTTCTCGGGGTGCGTGACTTTTGGGCCACCCTGTATATATACATTTGGAAAAAAAATTATCACTGTTTTTTTTTCTAATACATTGTTAACCCTTTAAATTCCATTTGATTCTTCAACCCAAATATATCAAAAGATGCAGCTCGTTCTAAGCTTTTTCGCTATATATGATAAGTTGAAAAATAAAGGACGTATAGTAATAAAAAGAAAAAAATACAAAGGGGGGAAATTCATTTGGCCCCCATAGTATTTCATCTTTATTTTCGCAAATAAAATTCCCATCAGTCTCTTTATATTCTAGACCATGATTAATCAAAAAACGAGGTATGTTCACATTTCCAGAAAAAGAAATTACCCATATTTTTGAAATTTCCATCATGTCGATTACTATTTAGCAGTGCAAATTAAAAGTTTTTAGACATACTGAAAATTTCAGCAATTTTGGGAATTTCTGTAAGTATGTAATTGTGGAAATTTCGGAAATTACATCTTTTTAGGAAGTAACGTATAATTCCGAGCACAAATGCTTGAAATCTCCGAAACTACCGAAATTTCCTTTTTCGGAATTCTGAACACTGCTGTAAAAAACACATTGATCGTTAGTTTTTTCATTATTTTTTCATAAAATGCATAAATCATGCAGGCTTTCTTCGTCTTATTTATCCGATGAAATAGGCACATCTTCTTCATCAAGATTATCATCGTGAATGAGTATCAACAAGAAATGATGAACATAATTAATCTTATCGAAGAACAGAAAAAAACATATGGAATAATTCTTTCGTCAAAATCAAGAGAAAAAAATGGACCGTCAATCAATATTATAAATTGTAAATTTATAAGATTATTTTAAAGTACAATATATGCATTTTATCAAATGGTTATTGTTAGCATTAAGAATTGGGTACACATACATTTTCTTATTTTCGTTAAATTGTTATATACTTATAAATATTTTCACAAAAGAATTTTTATTAAAATAATATTATTATTGCTATTTGTTCGCTGTTGTTCAATAGAATATAATTAAGTGCTCGTTTCTGTACTACTTCAAGAGTCGAAAATCTAAGTTATTCATAGTTTTTCAAATAATAACGGTTGACGCAGAATGAATGATGGTGTCATTATTTCTTCAATATTTCATCAAGTTTTCATCCTTTTGGAATCGATCTTTTTATTAAAGACATCATATGCTTAATATTCTACAAAACTCTATATATGATCATATCAATGAGGAGCATGTTCCATAATTTTAGAATACACCATAGTAAAGATTTGTTCAATATGTTTAGCTTTTCAACTTAGCTTTTTTTGCGAAAAAAATTGGTATCATATTTTTTAATTCTCGGAGTAATGTTTCTTTTTTATCTACTTTAACATATTTCAATTTGTTACTTAAAATTTTTTATTTCAAATGTAATCTTTTATTTAATTTTTGCGTTGATTGTTCGAAATCTGATCATTATTATCAAAAAAAAATCTGAAACTGTTCTAACACTAGGCATCGGTTAAATTATGGCATAGAAAATACTACTTTTATATAATAAATATACAGGAAAGAGTTTTAAGGATTGGCTGAAATTCTACAAACTATAACAAGGTCAGAAATAACTATTAAATATATGAATAGTATCAAGACAGTTTCGGCAATGTTGTTTTTCTTGATAATATTCATCGAAATTTCAAGAATTAACGCAAAAATTAGTTAGACCATAACATTTAAAATGAAAATTTTAAACTGTGATATCAGTATGTTGCAAAAAAGGGCTTAGTTGGAAAGTTGACCATATTGAACTAATCTTTTTTGATTGAGTATTCGAAATATATGGAATATGATTTCATTGATAGAAATATATGGTTTTGTAAAGAATTAAAAATATAATCTTTTGATTAAAAAACAACATTTCTAAAACGGTGAGCACTGGATGAGATATTGGAAAAATAAGGATACCACCATTTAATTTGTCCGATCCATACTTGGAACCGGACCAGCCGGTCTTCACCGGTTTTTTTTTAAAATTTTTGGCAACTAAAACTTGCTTATTTTGCTCATTTTTAAGGATTTTCATGGGGTCAATGGTCAAGAGATTTAATCCGGAAAATTTCTCACTGGCAAAATTTCAATCGTATTGGAAATATTAACTCTAAATATTCACCAACACTTTCTTATCCTTTCATCAGAGGCTCATATTATGGCGAATGAATTCATTATACTCACGACAAGTTAGCTCGATTTTACAAGCTGCTGTCGATTTAAATTCAACATTTTTCTTGAAATTTTGGATCACTCGTATGCAGTAATCTTAGCTGATTTTCATAGAAGCCCAATAGCCACCAGTATTCAAGTTCATGCTTTCATAGCAAAATGTTTTGAATAAAATTTTTTCTGTTATCACGGTCTTTCTAACTAGTAGCATCATGCAACTGCGTTAATATTTAGGTATCAATAAGCCTCAAATAGGAAGTCTAATGTATAAATCTTACCGATTAGCTCACATTATCTTTCTCTCTACAGTAGCATTCTTCTGTGGAGGGGAATATATTTCAGCTGTGCTAAGAAACTCAGCATTTCAAATAAGAATAGACTAAACCTATCAATGGTAAAGAAATCATATCATTATTTGAAAAGACTCAAAGAATGGTTAGCTGTTGTTCAATTCTAGTTGCTGTGAGTCCTAGTCAAAACTTTTTGAAAGATATCTTCATTGTTTCTGAATATTAGCATACTAAACATAACAGACTAAAAAAGAAGTCGCTACTATTAGAAGCTTCAAGAATTGTATGAGTTTGATATTTTATGTCTTAGTAGAGCTAAATTAACAAACTGTTTCGCGAAAACATCGGTTGTTTAGTCAATACATGAGTGCACTGCTTTTTTCGTCAGGTAAATCAAGAATTTGGACCAACCGTTTTTTCGCCGGTCAAGTCATAAACTTGAACCGGCCGGCTTTTCACCGGTTCAGGCAAGAGTTTGGACCGGCCGGTCCGATCCGGTCTGAAAAAATCAGACCGGTTCCAAATCTGGTCCGATCCCATTATGTCCGCTTGAATCCGTCAAACATTATTTTTTATTTTTTTTAGTACGAGTGCATAAGTAATGCTTTTTTGTTAAATATTAATGTTGTTTTCGATCGTAATAAAATGAATCCCGTGATCATTTACCTATCAACGAAATATTTTTTTGACTAACGAATAAAAGGAAATTATCAAACGCTGTTATACAAGGTTTATATCCAGTTTCTAATCAAGATGCATAACTGGATTTAGTGTATTGACAGTCATTCGTACATGGTAGCTGCATAATGTCAACTATCGTACGATAATTTTCTTGATGAAAAGCCTGCATGTAACATGCTTGATAAATAATACATAATAGATACAAAAAAAATTGTATATATGTGAGCTATACAGGTATTCTTTTCAGCGCAAAATGAATAGATTGTGTACAGTTTCTTGTTATTACTAATGAATAACCAAAACTGATTTTTTTTTACGGCGAAAAACTTATTTTTTATTTATTATTCGATTGAATAATAAGATTAGTATGTTATATGAATCAACCACTAGCTTACAACAATCATATTTTCTCAATAGTATGCCATAAGACCATACAAATTTCCATAGGATTTTTCTATAAATGGTTCGTACAATATAACAAATCTATTAACTCGATTCAATATTTGAAATACTGATTCATAATTATATAAGCAGCATCTTAGTTAGAGCAAATATCGATTAAAATTTTTACTATCGTAGAAAAAATATGTTTTGCTAATAGAAGATTGATTGTATTGTAAATAAACCTTGATGTTTATGCTTTTTTTGACAAACAAATCATTTTTGATTGTCTCATTAATATTTACATAAATAAGAAAATAAAACAAGATGTCAGTAGATAACGACACAATTCAAAGAATGATTAAGAATAAGTTCTTCTTATTTATCATTTTAACAATATCAAACAAAGACTAAAATAATCGTAATCATCAAAAAAATATTATTGGTCATCCGTTATTTATGTACAATACTGTTTGGATAAGATCATATGGGATATTTCACATTTCTTTTTCTTTCTTTCTATCAATGGTTAATGATATATACACACATGAATAAAAAATTACTTTTGATACAAATACAATTGAGTATTTTTAAAATTTCCAAATATTATTAAATAAAAATCAAAACAATAGAAAGCTTTGCTTTTAGATTGATAAATAACCAAGATGAGTGATCATGATGACGTCAGTGAGGTTTGTTGTACCATGTTTCTAAAAAAACAAGTGCTTCTATTTATTTGTATACAGATAGTTGAAATTGATTTTGAAGTTGGACATAGTTCTATTATACGATCAGAAACCACAACTACTCATAATCCACCACGTACTCATGATTGGAAAGTATATTTGCGTGCAGTTGATGTTAATGGTGATTTAAGTTGTCTGATACAACGTTGTGTATTTTATCTTCATCCTGAATATCCTAATAATAAACGAGGTAGATTTATATTTAATGTATATACCTATATCTATATCTATTTCGCGTATATTTGAAATAATGTTTTAGAATTAAAATCAACACCCTTTGCTATTCAAGAAACTGGTTATGCTGGTTTTCATTTAGTAATACTATATTTTTTTCTCTTATTGTTTTGTTTTTCTTTATTTTAATATGCTTTATTTTAGCCGATAGAAATATATTTTAAGACAAAAAAGGAACCAAAAAAATTTCGTATTGAATATGATCTTGATTTACATAAGAATATTGATGGGCGTCCATATCGACAAAAAGAAAGTTATGTACGAAAATATCGTTGTACTTTTTACAATCCTGATTCTGAATTTCGTCAAAAGATTCTCGCTGCTGGTGGTGTAAGTTGGTTGTTTCTATGTGTTATATCTATGATACGTAAATGAAGAAGCATGCGTCCTTAAGAAAGCTTATTTCTTTCCCTCATTGATAAGAAACTAATGATCAACGTCATGATTATACGAATATTACTTTTTCTTTCTGTTAAGGTTTTCTTTCTTCACACGTAAATAAAGGAAAGGAAAAAACCGAGGCGTAAATCAGCTGTGTATAATGACTCAAGAAAAAAAGAAATTATATTCGTATAAAATCAACCTCTGTTTTTTTTTTCTCTTATAATATTATTATTTTTTACCGAGAGTCTATAACAAAATAATGAGTAATAAAAGTAAAGAACGTCAGAATGTTTGTCGTTTAACCGTTGTTGTAAGTTTTGAATTTATTGTTTCTATTAAGTCATGTTATTTCTTTTTGTCTGCATATATAGAAACTAGTCGATAGTGGTCCAATAACATCAAACAACACTGATACTGATGAATGTGATATAGATTTAGGAAAAGTATCAGTGCGTCAACCAGTTATTCGTCATTCTCCACAACAAAAAAGACATATTTCACCGGTACCAACAGTTAATGTAGTTAATCATAAAAAAGTTAAACTTGAACAATCAACAAATGATATTAAAAAAAAACCAGTACAATCAGTAATCAAGAATGAAAATATTAGTAAAACAACAGTAAATTCTAAACCAACAAAATCAGTATTATGTAAGTCATCATTGGTAATAGAATCAAAAATAACAAAAACTTTACCAATAAAAGAATCAAATCAAACAACAACTATTAATGATAATACTGACAGTGAGAATAAATTTGAAAAATTAAAAATTTTTATCATATTAATTCTTTAGATCTATCATCATTGAAACCGCGTGCATCAAGAAAAATAATTAAATCTCAATCAACCAATGATATTAAACCATCTATACAAACCACAATAAATAATACTAAAAAGAAAGAATCTGCTCCTTCTCCATCAAAACCTAAACTAGTTACAAATATACAAAATGGATTAAAAAAACCAATAAATAAAAATTCTCAAAAGTCTTCGATTAAAACAGAACAAACATCAACTTCTACAAATAAATCACCTTCAAACATCATTATAAAACAAGAATCATTATTACAACCATCATCAACTAACACTGCTTCAACTGACACAAATACATCAGTTCTAATTAATAATCTTAAAAAAATTCCTAAAAAACCTCAACCACCGCCAGTTGTAGAGAAATATTCTCGTTCATCGATATCTTCTTCATCATTAAATCGAAATTCGATTCGAGTAAGATAAATTGAAATTTAATCTTACGTATATTTATTTTATATGCTTATTTCAAAGGATTCACAAGGACAAAACTCAGTATTATCTAAAACTCAATCAAATTTAAAACGAGATCGTTCTTTATCATCTGTTAATAATTCTAATAGTAATAATCGATCAGGAGAAACTAATATTACTAAAAGTAAATAAAAGAATCTTGAATACATAAATGATAAAAAAAGAAAACATTTCTTATGAAATTTAGATCGTTCAAATCATTCAACACATCAATCTGCAAATTTATCTCGACATGATCAATCAAATCGTATTTCATCGTCACCTCCTAAATCATCGTCAAAAAATCAAATACCAACTCCTCCTAAATTTATTCCTAGTCCTTCTCAATGCCAAATTGATCCTCCTATTAATTCAACTATCCCATCATCATCATCATCATCTGTTGATACACCTCAACCATTATCTACTAGTTCGCCTTCCACTCATATCTTTCCAAATGAAGATAATCATATTCAAGCTTCAATGGATATTGATGATGATCATATTCAACTTTCAGATAAATCTAACTCACGTAAATATTCTATTGAAAAAAAGAAAAATTCTTTATTTAAGTTTTATTTTTAATTTAGCTAATGAACATGTTCTAATCCAACCAATACAAATAACATCAAAGCGAATATCTCATTCAGATCGATCTGATATATATGATAGTGATACATCAATAGATGATGGTAACGAGGAAGAAGATTTACCAACTAGTCTTACTAATGATGATTTACGATATAAACTTATATATATTTATAAACGTTTTCAATTAAATTCAATAAATGATCTTACAATATTTGTTCGTTTCTTTAAACGACATCAATTAATTGATATATCATCATTATCAATGACAAAAGCAACAAATGAAATGTTTACTTATGATCTTTTTTCTCTTAGTCCATCACATATTGGTGAATTAGCAAGTGATCTTGGTTATACAACAACAAATATTATTACTTCCATGGAAGAGTAATTTTAAAAATATCTGGAATTAATCTGTGTTCTTTTTTTTTTTGTTCTCTTATTTGGGGTATAGTGTCTTGTTCATTATAAATCTGTCTTTCATGCATGTATATAGTTCTAAATGTGAGAATGATATCTAATAGACAATGGATTTGTCTCTTTCAATTTTTGTTTGTCTTGTTTCTTTTTTTCTCTCTGTATTTATTTAGTATAACGAAAGAATAATAGATAGATAATGTAATGCAATATTTATATGTAAGATAATTTTATTTGAATGAGAAAGATAAACATTCAATTGTAGAAAATATGAAATTTTAAACAACTTGATATAAACCATAATAGTCTATAACACAGACAATCATTCAATAAAAGTCTTTTTGTTAAGAACTTAGTCTTTTGTTCCTTTGAATAATTGCTAAGTAGCGATAGTTCATGTCAAGAAGTGAAATAAAGTTTTGATAATTTTTATATACAGTACTTTTACAACGTATACTGGATCCATAGAAACTAGACAAACAAAGTTTATAAGAAGTATATCGTGACACAAGATGGCCTACATTCTTTTTATGATTAATAAAAGAACAACTTGGGAACCAAAATTACAATATGATTTAGTTTCTCTAAAGTATGTATCCAACAAACAAAATTTTACTCAATCATATTAATTATTTTTAATTTTCAAAAGCTATGCTTTTAGACGAAGCCAAGATAAAAGAATAGGTAACCTCAGTAATAAATGCGTTAGAAAGCAGTCAATCTTAGCGTTTAAGTCTTCTTAACTTATATGGCGATGACTAATCTTTTCTGTTTTATTCTTTGTAACTTAAAACAAATAAGAAAAAAAGGTATATGAGATGATTCATCTTTAAAATATCTTCAACAAATATCTATTGCATTTGTCTTATCAGCATCTTTTCTTTTTTTACAATTTTTTCTCTTTGTACATCTATTTAACAACAGTTTTATATAACCAGGTATTATCGATTGAAAGAAAAAGAAAAAAGTTTACGATGCATTGACTGCACCATCCATTAAGATTTTTTTTACCTTTGATGACAAATGATACTATATGTGTTCTGTATGTAGTTGCCGCCTTTTTTTTAAAGATTATTGTGTATTACACATAGGCATACATACAACATCTATGTTCGTGTTGAATGTGAGGCTCTTCGAGTGACTTTTACCATATAATTGAGATGACAGACAGAAAAAAAAGAGAACAAAAAGAGCAATGATTGTGTGATAAGTAATAATATATAAAGGACAAACACAGATGCTGGCATTTTCTTTCAAAAAAACTTGTATAAAATGTTTGTCTTTTGATTTACGATTCGCAACGAAAAAATGATTTGAAAGCATAGTTATAGGACAATTACAAAAGTTGGTAGGTTGCTTTGTTGTAGTGACGCGATTACCGTCATTTAAATTGAAGTATCAAATCGAAACTCCTAAGGCATTCTTTTATGGATCAACTAAATATTCAAATAAATGAGGTAAGCATAATCTCAGAAATAATTTTATGAATGTTCCTGCTTAAGTAAAAAAAGATAGAAAAAAGTCATTGATAAAAGTTAAGATATCAATTTTTTGAGTTCATACAATGTTGAGATGTGAACAAGTTTTGTTGCTTGATTACAGAATATTCTTTCACAAGATTTGAAAAATCTAGAAATTAAAAATAAGCTTTTTAGCATATTAAGCAAACTGATTAAATGCAAATCATATTAGGCTATAAGGAACTTTCATTTGTCATGCATGTATGCATTCTGGTTTCCTATCTAAAAATTTTCTCTCATGCGTATTTTATTAGTTGCATACACTCAAAATATCTTCTGTTTTTTTTTCCAAAACAAATTCTCTAGTCGTATACTATTTGTTAAAGTATTTTTTCTTAATAAATGCCAATCATACAGTTTATTTCTATTGTTCCATTAATAATTTTTTTTTTCTTTTCTTCTTTTATAATCATTTCAAAGTTGAAAAACCAACAAAAAGACAAATACACAGACACACACACAAAAGTGCACGTTACGAGCTTGAAAGAAAAAGAAAAAAGAAGGAAAAAAGTGAAAATCCTATTACCGTTCCCTGTTCAGAAGCGTGCCGTGAACAAGAGAATCGAGTAGGAGAGAAAGAAATCTTCACGACTGTTCGCGAAGGCGCACACATCGTTCTAAAAATTACACATATTCTCTATTTTACTTTTTTTTTTGTTTATTTCGGCTCTTTTCATTCACACTAATGTTTACATAGACAATGTGATGAAATATTTTCTTTGTTGAATTTATCGTGTATATGACCTATGAACTTAATTTTAACATATTTTGTAAGTTTATGATTATATTGACTGTATTCTCCGTATGTAACTAAGGTCATTTTTGTGTAAAGAAAAGATAACGAGATAAGAAACTGAATTCTATTTCACAAAAGGTAAAAGTAATTGTAAAGTTTGAATGAAATTATTTTATAAATACATAATTCATAAATGTTGAACTGACTGAAATATTTGTATATTGGAGAAAAGTTGTTTAAATCAATAAGAAAAAAAGGAAGAGCCAAATGAACAATATGCCTGCGAGGGCAAAGAAATGTATAAAATTGACTGCATTCTCTCATTTCTTTTTTGCTTCTCAATTGAAATTCTTTTGTTGCACTTTGTGAAATAAGGACGCGTGTATTTTCTCATTTTGCATTTTTCTTCATAACTAAAACTCTATCGTATTCACTTTTTATTCATTTATCATCAGGAAATTTGATTAATTTGCATCATTGCACCTTTTTTTTTAATGAATAGATTCAAAATTCATCTCCACCATGTGAGATGGTGTTTGTGACGTCAATACTTTGTAAGTAATGATCATCTAATGTGTTTATCATTAAGCTGGATCTTTTACTTTTTTCTCTTTATTTCAAGGAAAAAAAATGAGAGAGAAAGTAACAGACAAGCTAGTAACGATGAGATGGTCGTTGTCATCATTGTCGTCGTATCATTTTCTCGTCCTTCCTCTCTTCTTCTCTTTTCAGTCTCTTACTTCTTCTTGACGACAGTCTGTCGCTACATCACTACATACACCTTCTAGAGTATTGCGCTCTCAAGATGTTCTCTTTGCCGTTCTCGCAAAAGAGCATTATATTTTCGCGCGAGTAATTATTGGAACAATACACATACACAATGTTGCTATGCAACTGAGCCTTGTGTTGTTGTTCAAAAAAAAAGAGACGCTCGCTCGCACACACATACTGAAGGAGACCAACATACTTTCAAATTTGGAATATAAGTGAAGAAAGAAAAAAGAGAACGACGAGTGAGAAATATAATTGCTATACAAACAAATCGATTACAGAGTGAAGGTTATAGCAGTTAGATTTCCAAGTAAGAAAAAAGACCTCTTCAGATTAATTACAACGTGAAAATTTCACTATTAAACAATCGATGATAATGTCATCTTTTGATATATTCGATTTATGTTGATTACATATATTATTAGTGTAAAAGAAATTTTATCAAAGAAATTCATATAGAGTGTTCATTGATTCAGCAGAAGAATAGAAAAAAATTAGAAAAACGTTCTGTTACACACGCATATATTCGACTGATTTGATTTTTCGTTGCTCTTTGTACTATACATCCATCTATCAGCCGATCGATAGTAGAAAGAGAGTTGGCCACATTTTCTGTTTACAAAACATTGATCAGGCAACCTTATTATTGCATTCTATGAGTTGAATTGGCAAAATCAAACAACCTGAGTTGAAGTTTATACTTGATTAACGATAAAATTTTTGAAGTAAGTGTAAAAAAATACAATGAACAATATCCTAATGTTTAGTTAATATAAAATAATGATTTCATAAGAATGTCAGTCTAGTTGACCTACTGAAGCCTATCGAAAACATTTCATTCTACAGTACCAGAAACTTTTTTTTGTTCTTGTTCTTCTTCCAGATTGATATTCGGCTATGACAATAATAACGACAAATATACTCTTACATTCAACATCACGACCACAACTTATTTCTTGTCTTGACGTTTATTTTTGGGCTTCTTACTTCACATCATCGTAGTTTCATCATCATTTGCTTCTTCGTCTTTTTTTCTCTTTCCCTCTCTCTCTCTCTTTATTTCGATTTCATACATCCATACACACACATATATATTTATATATATACATATACATACATATATATATATATATTAAAATTCTTCTTACAAAATGATCACTGAATATGATCCACACCATGGTCAGAATGACCATCAACAACAGCAACAACAACGTTCAACAATGCTTGAACGTGGTCGAGCTATAAAATTAATGAGAAATGGAGATTTATATTTTCCTGGACGTTCATTCGTTATAAATCAACGTAAATATCCAATGCTTGACGTATTGTTAGATGATGCATCACAAGCATTACGTGCCAATTTTGGTGCAGTAAGATGTATTTATACACCTAAGAATGGTACCCGATTACATGATATATCTGAGTTGGAAGATCATCGAACTTATGTCGCATCTGGAGGTGAAAAATTTAAAAAACTTCAGTAAGAATTTCGATAAATTATTTTATGATTAAAAACATTATACTTCTATTTTTTTTAGTTATCTTGATATTGCAGAGGGTAAACGCGTTCAAAGTAAAGATCGAACACAATATAAAGTAAGTGCAATACTCAACATTACACTTCACATACTTAAATTTCTTTTATTTCATCAATATACTTATTGATAATCATAGATTTCAATCCTATTTCATTCAATTGTTGAGTTAATCTTTTTTATTTTGATCACTTTAAAGTATTACTTGTTATAGCTGAGATAAGACAACGATAAATTGAGAGATAAGTATAAATTGTCTTGTCATATAATAAGTACAATAGCAAAGCTTTGTCTTTAAAATGTAATCTTATTAAAGCCACTTCAGTAGATTTCAAATTTTAATTTTCTTCTTCTTTTTTACTCTAGTTACCGCCTGTTCGACGTCTTGATGTTGAAGGGCGAGCATTGAAAT